GGTACTCCAAAAGTTTACAGAAACAGTGAACTAAAAGCTAAGCTTATTTTAGTACAAAATTATTTTTGGAACACATACACAGGGTGGTTTTTTTTTTGCAAGGTGTGTTTTCTGCAAACATTTTGGAGATACCTCATATATACTTTTGTTCTCTGTATCACTACAAATACTAAGATGTTGCAATATAATCAAATAAGTTGAATACAATTAAATAAAAGTAATTAATTGATCAATTTCAGCAAAAATTAAGCCAAAGAACCAAAGAAAGGGAGTCAAGTGTGCTTCATGGTGTTAGTTGGCCATGTCTTCATCAGTTATCTTGAAATTTCTGGATGAATGTTTTTGGGTTTTTGGAGAGAATGAGTTAGTTTCCAGTGAAATGAGTAATCCATTGTGTCTGGCATCATATTCAGATCTGAAATGCCATTGTATTTTAGTTTGAAGTGCCTAACAAGTAATCACACTGAGAAGTCCCTTGGTATAATCCTAAAGCTGTTGTTTAATTGAAAAACTAGGAACTGCACAACTTCAGTTCGCTGTACATTATTCTATTTTACAGCTATGATTGCTTCATTCTTATCCACAGCCATATATCTGTAGGAACTCTGACAAGTATCTAGATTGCTATGATGATGATGATGATGATGATGATGATTATGGTGGCAGTGGTATCTGGCACTACTGAGTCCTAAACCTACACCTCCTATTTAACCCTACCACAAACCTTGTCAGATAAGCTCAGCTACCACACCATTTGATAGAGAAGGGAATTAGAGCTTTAAAATTAGGGGTTTTTTTTAATTTGCTTAGTAAATACACTGTAGAGCTTGGATTCTAGTGCCCAGGGTCTCTGATATGACAATTTTCACTAATGTTAATTTTCCAAGATATATATGATCACACAGAAAGACCATTTGCTCTTTTCTGGCTCTTTTAAAAACGAATGCCATATCTGGAACTAAGAAGTCATAACAGATTCAGTTTATGTTGTTAATGTCAAAAATGAAATTCTACAGTAAGTAAATTCAGAACTTTCATGCAAAGGAGCCTACTTCAGAAAATAGTCACAACTATGCTTTTGTCAAGTCATAGTTTTTAATGATTAATTTATTTATAAGGCAGAAAAATAGAGAGAGGTTAGGAAAGGAGGAAGAGAAAGAGTGGGGAGAGAGAGAGAAAAAGAAGAAATGAGAGAGAAAAAGAAAAATGAGACAGAGATCTTTTGTCTTCTGCTGGTTCACTATCCCAATGACCGCAGTAACTAGAATTAGGGCAGGCCAAAGCCAAGTGCCAGGAGCGGAATCAAGGCAGCCCGGATGGATGGCTAGATCCCAAACACACGTACCACCATTGGCCTTCCCCCTGGTGCATTCTCAGGAAGCTCCACTGGAAATGGGGCAACTCGGACTGTGATATGGAAGCTGGCATTGCAAGTGGTGGCTTAAACCACGTCACCACAAGGATGGATCAAAAGACTTTATAAAAAACCAAGCAGGCTAGACATCAGAAAAAAGAAAACCAGCGTCAAAAGTGACAACAATATTAAACCAACTTTTTAGATATATTTTGACTCAGAACATATCAGGGCTTCCACCATTTCTTCCACATGCTTACCTGTCAAGTTTTATTCCAGTATGAACTGAAACTGCCAGAAGCGTTAAGTCCCTGGAATTATTTTTCAAGTTACAACATCATTACAGGTGGGTTGAAAAACTTCAGTATATTAAAGAAAAATAAACATTTTAAATTTATTCATAAACCATGTCTTCTTGAATAACTTTCCTAATTATTACATCAAGAAACATGTAAGCCTTCTCTCCAGTTTTTGGCAATAGTATCGCATCAGTAACTTAGAATATACTTGTTCCTATAGTAATAAAAACCACTAAAACAACCCATTGGTTTGACTCTCTGCTTTGCTTACCTCAAACCAGACTAAGTCAGTACCTTTGTTCTCTCATGTACAAAAAGAGGAATTTTCAGCTATTCTGACTTCAGGGATCCATGAAATACTGTGTTTTCTTTTAAGATATATTTATTTTTATTGCAAAGGTAGATTGACAGAGAAGGAGACACAGAAAAAAGATCTTGCGTTTACTGGTTCTTTCCCCAAGTGGCCACAGCAGCCAGAGCTTAGCCAATTCAAAGTCGGGAGCCAGGAGCTTCTCCCAGGTCTCCACATATTTGCAGGGTCCCAAGAATTTGGACCATCCTCTAGTGCTTTCCCAGGCCACAAGCAGGGAGCTGGAAAGGAAGTGGAGCAGCTGGGATATGAATTGATGCCCAACAGGGATCCTGGCCGCTGTTGCAAAGTGAGGATTTAACCACTAGGTTATCATGTTGGGCTTAAGACATTGTTTCATAAGATGTTTATCTATTGTGAAAATACATGGAAATCATAACTTTCTTACAATATAATTTATGTAAATGTGCATGAGTCTAATTATCATATGTGAGAAAATTAGAACATTAGCTCAAGAAATACCCCTCAAGAGCAATGGTCAACACTTAGGAAATCCCAACTAAGTGAGTTTGCACTCAGCTAACCACATTACACATATAATCTTGCTCCCACAACAGCTCTCTAAAAATCATGCTACATTTTATGTAAGGAACCAATAACTTAGAGAGGTTGGATAATTTGTTCAAGAGTGCACAGTGTTATGCAGGGCTTAGACTCAGTTCGAGTTCCAAATGCTTTTCACCACCCCACTATTTCTCATTATGTTCGCACCAACTAGGAATCAGAGAACTCTAGTTAAGTCCATCCCCAGCTTGTAGCAGAATGGTGAGGGGAACAAAAGCTGAGGAGTAAGAAAAGGAGCTAGTCACAACTTCCCTTGGGTATGTGCATGCATGTCTTTATGAGCCATTACGAATCTTAGATCATAAGTTTTTTCTGAGAAACATGCTATCAAATTGTGCGTTTGGAGATAGCATCAATCTTGGACATTTCACCTTTCCTGAAAGAGCAGTGCAAAACTTGGGATATTCATCCCCTGGGGAAGATAGCTGAGGTAAACAGAGGCTGATGTTGCAGAGTGAGAACCTGGATGGGATTCCCACAGCTACAGACAGCAAAGTTATCACATCCAGGCTGAAGTTCAAATCACAGCCTTCCAAATAAAAATTGTTCTGTGGGAAACTGTGGGCAAATGGTACACAGCTTGCTCACAAGTTTTGGAGGCCAGCCTGCTTATAGCTGGGGGACTACTTCTATGATGCTGGGTTTCATGGAACTGGGCCAATACACGTTTTCCTAAATGATCTTTCTCAGATCCTTTCTGGACTTGGGATCAGTTGCCTTTTTCCATTGCTGTACTTTTTAAGAACAAAGGTATCCTTCTTTGCCCATGTACTATCTAACCATAATAAAGAAAGCGATAGATACTAGATAAAAGGCCTATGTGGCTGGAATGAATGAGTGCCCTATATTTCTTGATCAAGTTCATTATCTCACAAAGAAAATGTTCAAAACAAAATGAAGACCTGCTCAAGCAGAGTCCTTAAGGGCATTTGCTTGACCCATCCATTGAGAACCTAGAAAGCTGGGCTTTTATGGATGAAAACTGATTGCAACTCAACATTAGGGAACTTAAAACACTTTTGAATTCATCCTTTACAATGAATTCATGTGAGACCACATTCACAATGGCAAGCCCATAGAACTCAGTGCATAAGAAGGTATGAGATATGTTTCAAAATTTAGTCACTTTTCAAACTAAATAGGCCAATTTTAACAATAGTTGCTGAACTGTATGTTGAAATGAATTTCCCTATAGGAGACTGTGAAGAAGGTGGCAGAAAGTAAAACTTGGGATATTTGCTATCTTATTTTAAATTATGGTAAAATACACATACCAAAAGGCATTAATTTAAGACCATTTTAAGTTCACATGTCTGCAGCATTAAGTAATCACATCATTATATAGTCATGACTATCATTCACCTTGTGTCAGTCAGGCCATGTGCTTTTACCTGTTGGAAAAATCAGTTTTAGACTGTTTCCTTATTAGGAATTAATTTAAGCTTGTAGGTACTGTATTATGACACAGAAATAAACAGCTTAATTGTATTGGATTTTGGAGTAGCCTATCCCATTATTAAGTTACAGCTCCTCCTTTATCAAAGCAAAAACTATAATTTTAAAAATTTATTTATTTGCATTGCAAAGGCAGATCAGATTTACAGAGAGAAGGAGAGACAGAAAGGAAGATTACCCTTCTGCTGATTCACTCCCCAAATAGCTGCAACAGCTGGAGCTGAGCCAATCTAGAGGAAGGGGATTCTCCCAGGTCTCCCATGTGGGTACAAGCTCCCAAGGGTTTGGGCCATCCTCTACCACTTTCCCAAGCCATAAACAGGGTACTCAATAGGAAGTGGAGCAACCAGAATATGAACCAGTGACCCTAAGGGATCCCAGTACTTGTAAAGTGAGGATTTAGCCACTGAGCCATCATTCCAGGCGCTGAACTACATTTTCTACTTCTCCAAAAAGGTACAGGGGTAGCACCAGACAAAATAATCATCTTGAAGATAGTGAGTAGATAAGTCAGCACCAAGATAAATATCTTACATGCATCAACACAGTAAGTCTCATACATCGTCTTCCCTATTTCACAAGTGAAAGAACCAGGTTTAGGGGTTAAACTGCCAAGATCCAACAACCTGCAAGTTCTTGACCTTAAATGTATTTGCCTCCTGAGACAAAAGCTGGAATTTTAATAGAGGTTCACAAAGCCCATAGCAGCACTCTCCCTGCATATTGCTGAAAATGCCAATCAAGTATGGCCAGTGGGCACAATCCAGCTCTTCCCTCAACTTTAGTTTCTCATTACTGTGCATCTTGAAAGACAATAGGTGATGGCTTGACTATGTAGGTTCCTCTCAACTACGCGTGGGATCTGGATGTTGTTTCTGGCTCCTGGCTTCAACCTGGTTCAGCTCTGTATGTTGTGGGTATTTGAGGAGGTACCCAATAGATGGAAGGTGTGCCTGTGTGTATCGCTCTGCCTTTCAAATGCATAAAATGAATAAATCAGCACCAAACATGTAAATCCCTGAGCCCCACATAGAGCTCTGGTTGGGAGGGGTGAGCAACCATCGGCAGTCTGAGAAGCTCTCCAGGTGATTGAGACTCACTGAGTGGAAGCGCCATCACTCTAACCACATCCTCATTGCATTTCCTCTCTTTTATGCTCCTCTTGTCATTTGCCAAGAGCCGGCACATGTTCTTATCAGTCCCCATTTGTGTATTCCACTTATCCTAGTCTCCCAGAAATCACCCCATTCTTTGAGTTGACTTCTTTCCTTCCTCCTTTCTGGTCTTCCTTCCTCCTAGTAAAAAATGTCCTCTCGCTTCTAGTTTTCCCTGTTATTTAATAGAAGCACAGTCTTGCTAGGTTTGGTTCATCCAATCAGCCAAAAATATTTACAGTGCCATGCTTTAAAATAAAACAACTGCTTTCAGTAAGTGATCTGGTTATTTGATACATATTCATGACTAAAATAACGGAGGTTGACCTGGCTTCGTGTAGGTCCTCAGATATTGTTCAAAATGCACAAATTAGGGACTTATATAAAAAATGTGGATTTTCCCAGGTTTGAGCCAGGACCCTAGAATCTACAGTTTTTATAAAACATCCAAGTAATTCTGGTGCCAAGTGAACCACAGGATTTATAAAACCTGGAATCTGCCCCACCATAGACTGATTAAGAGCATAGTAATTCATGTGGTAGTCCTTGTATTATAGAGTCTTTGGGAAGGACTAAGGACACCAGAAAGGAAACAAAATACAATGCAGGCAAACTGAAGCAGAACCTTTCAAGAAAGGGAACTTGCTAAGGTCTCCTAAGTCTGGTTCTGCAGAGACTTTGCTTAAAGTGAATCACGTCTGGTCAGATTTATAGTGGGCAAGTGCATGGCAAAAGAAAGGGGTTGGAGCAAGAATGACCTCTCAGGTCCTGCTCCACCAACTGGGCCAGGCAGCTGCTGTGTACAGGCTTTTGAAGTATCTCAAAGACAACACCTTTAGCTCTCAGCGAAAATTTGGAAGCTTACCAAGTCATCTTGGTAAGCCCCTCTTTCCTAGTAAGAACAAGACCAGCTTGCTGAACATTTCCTCATACCACTGAGTTTTTTTCATGAGGCCTCACCCACTCCCACACAATAACAACATCCTTCCTGTGTGTTGCTGACCAGGACCATATCTAAGAGGTATAAGTATTTTGCCCATTGCCATCGCCACCTCCTCCTCTTTGTTTCAATTCTTTCTGCTGAGATAACCTAAAACCAGAACTGGGAGGGCCATGGGTGGAGTATTTCAGCCTCCCCTCTCTTTTTCCAAGATGCCTCCCAAATTCCTGCCCTGAGTCAACCACTGTTCCTTTATTGTTTAGAAGATAACATGGACTCTTTTTTTTTAAACAGAATAAATATTTGGCAAAGAAATAACCCTGTATCAAAAGGGTCAATAAGGGAAGTCACCACGGGAGGGGTGGTGCTAACTCAGCAGCGCAGCAAGCATAATCAGCAATCTCACTGCTAGCTGGTGTCGCAGCAGCCAGTGACCAGTGAGGAACCAGGCTCCTGTTTTGTAATTCAACAGATGATACCTTGTTCCTATTCCATCCAGCACAGTGCCATTTCAAACTGTAAAATTTAACCTAGTCCTTGCACCCTAGGATCTTGAATGGCTTCCAAATTCCATCTTCTTTCTCATGTCTTTTTAAGTTTTTATCTCTTTGGACTCAAGAGATCCAATGCTCTTGGTTTGTCTTCATATTGCATGTACTCCCCTACTCTGATACGTCATCAGTATGACTCAGTTTCTTCTCCTTTGTATCCAAAAGGCATAAAGAGAACATCCTGCGGACATCTGGCTCAAAGCCTCTCTATTACTGAGCTGGGTTGTACATTCAATCTCAAGTGTCAGCTTGTACACAGGGACTGGAAATAAGAGATCCGGGGAGACCCCTGTCTCTGTAAGCTCCCGTTCTATACAACCCAAGTTCTTCTCAGTGGTCAGATCAAACTGGCCATCAAAGAAGCCCAGAGCACCAGTAAGCTGTGAGCTAGAAAAATTCATCATCCAAGAGCTCCAAACTAAGCTGACTGTGTCTACCCCTTTATAATAAAATAAAATGACAACATGACAACCACAACCAAGTAAATCTTTTGATTTTGTGCTAGCCTGCTGTTGGGGCACCAAGACCCCTCCATACCTGGTGGACAGTTGCATGCTCAGTGTCTCAGTATTCATTATCTTCCTAAGCCCTCTGCTTTGACTTGTCCTTCAACATCAGACCTGCACCTGCGGATTTTCCTGCGTGTTCTGTTCCTAGTTGCATTCTGAAATGATATCTGTGAACACATCCAGGTCACAGATGAAACCTACAGGGTTTCCATAGTGTGGAATATGGACTATTGCAGATCCCTGGTAACTTCCTAAGCACCCAGAAACACCTTAGAACCATCCACAGCTCTAAAATATCTGCTAAACAGTTTCTTCAAAGCTATGGGCAAATGTTTCATATCTGACCACCAGTAACACCTAAAACATTTAAGCCGAAATGATTTTACGAAGTTTCAAGGCTCTGAATTACCTTAAGGTGTATGTCTTCAAATGTGGTCTGGCAAATTTCTATAGAGATCCCACCTGACCTCCTGAGCCAATATTTCTGCAGGTAGAGCCCAACAATTTAGCACATTTCCCATACATGAGATTAATGCTTGGGAACCAAAGCCTGGGACGTGGCAGATATCTTTTCCGAAGTAAAAAATGTGATGTTCTAATGTCCAAACATATAAAGTAGCACATGCTTCCATACTCAACCCCACAGGTGGGTATTATTTACATTTAGTGCATGCATATGTATGGACAGGCTGTGGAATACTAACCCTTGCAGTCACAGAGCCAAGCCCTGTCATGGTCAGCACTCAGGCTCCAACCCCACAGCACTCCTTCCTTTTTCACCAGCCTTCGCCTTCCTCTTTATCATCACAGTATCTTTCCACTTAAAGTAATCCAGAACCTATGGCTACCTGAAACTTGGTTGCATTTTTTTATGTCTTTTGATAATTGGAAGGATTATCTATTACTCATGCATACAGTTCCTGTTCTTTGTAGTATATAAGGTGTACACACAGTTTCTAACTATGACAAATCTTCAAAAGTTTTAGGGCACTCCATGTAATGATAAAACAAATGAACTAACTAAAGGTTTAGATTCTTTCAGAAGATGGCACATGCTAGGATCCCTTCCCTCTCACCACCTGTGTCTCTACTGGCATCACTCCAAGAAAGAGACAGAGCAAATGAAAATGGGGCTACAGACATCGCAGGGTAGGGAAGATGGGTGCCTTTGGAGCAGGAATTGGCAAACTTTGGTAGTGGTAAGGATAAGGATAATCAGGGGCTTCGAGCACAGCTGTCCAAGACCAATAGAATGAGACCAAAACCCTGAGAGTGTGTGCCTTGCTTATCCAGTTTCCTTTCCTGAACATGACTTAATAGCAGAGGATACTCAATACAAACGACCTCAGTAGAAACCCATCAGGTGGATATTGAAGACACTTTTACTAAGGAGCAAATTCCTGAGGCTAAATCAAAAGACCTTAACACAGGCTGTGAATGTCCCAGGTTGAGTCGGCTTCCCACTTACTACAAACCTGAGTGGCAGTCAGCTCTGGCAAGGGAGGAGGAGGATGGCTGCTGTAGAATTGCTGTACCTCTTACTCTCACGGACACAGCAGGTTAAAGCAAGAGGCTATTTCTGATTACCACTTTAGTAATGAGTCTTTGATAATGAGTCAGAATAAAGATGCCATCAGTGTGAAGAAAAGGCTGATTTTAAAAATTGACATCTAAGCACCAGATCCTGTAATAAGTACTTTAGGTCATACGTAGCTTACAACTTCAAGAAAGGTGCTATCATGGTCACCATTTTGGAGCTGAAGAAACTAAACTCAGATGAGTCAACCAACTTGCCTAAGGACATACAAGATAAAAGTCAGCAGGAGCATTACCAGTCTAATCCAGGTTTGTCTGACTCCCAAATTTTAACTCGGAAGTAGCACAGCAGTAATTTACTTTCTCACTTTAGCTATCAAAGACAGAGAATTGATCATTTATGAGAATAGAAGAATGCCATCATTGGGAAAATTGTGTTGTTGCTACTTTCTAAAAAGCCTTCCCATTCTAACAGTCATATGAAATAGCTACTCTTAGTTCCTGCTGAGGCTGGTCCAGGACAAGTCAATCTGAAAAGAGTCTGAAGCCCATGGATTCACCGTAATTACCATAATTACATGGCTCCAATGACCAGTGGATGTTGCTATTCAAAGAAAAGGATATAAAGCAGAACATAGGATCCATGAGGGCCAGGGTATTTGTTTCATTTCTGATACATCATAAATGCTTGCAATGGTGTTCAGCACACAGCTGACACTCAACAGGTGTTCATGAAATGAATGAATGATGAAATTTCAGAATAGCAGTGGTATAAACCACTAATATCACAATAGAGGGCATAGTAACCTGGGCTATCAGCCAATGTTTATCCATCAATGTGGCCCCTAATGATCTTTGCCTCTAGTATTCACATCCTTGTATAGTCCCATGATGAGAAGGTATGTTACTTCTTAGATTAGGTTGTGAGGACCATGCCATGGTCTTTCTCTTGAATCATCATCTTTGGGAAAAGCCAAATGCTATGACTTGTGGACACTTGGACAGCTTTCAGAGAAGCCAACACAGCAACAATATGAGACCTTGAGCCAACAATTAGTATGGAATTGAGATATTCTACCAATAACCATTTGGGTGAGTTTGGAAACAGATCCTCTATCCTCATTAGAACTTTGAGGTGACTTGAAGACCCAGCCAGTAGCTGGACTGCAACCTCACAGGGAATCCTGAGCTAACATCACCCAACTAAATAGTTTCCAAATCCCTGATCCTTAGATAATGTGTGGAAAAAGAAACTTTCTGTCTTCACCTGCTAAGTTCTGGAGTAACTTGTCATGCAGCAAAAGAGAACTAATATACTTAACTAATTTTGCTATTTTGTAACATGGAAATTAGAATCTAACCTTTGAGCAAAAAAAGTATGCCATTAGAAAATTTTAAGAGCTCATTCTAAAACATTTAAAAACATAAGCTGTATTCTCATGACCTATGGGCTCTCTTAGTTTTGCCACTTATTGGAGAGTTATGTACATAACGGCTACAGTGGAGCACAGGTATGACGTTATGGCTGTGTAGATTACTACCTACCTCTCCCAAGCAAAGAAAAAAATACCCTTGCGAATTTTTAGAAAAATCTTTCAGATATTAAATTCATTTTTATTCAAACTAATTTTTAAAGATTTTTATTTATTTATTCTAAAGTAAGAGCTGTAGACAAAGAGGGAGAAACAGAAATCCTCCAACTGCTGGTTCATTCCTGCAATGACTCCATGAGCGAGGAACTTCAGTCAGGACTTCCATTTGGATGTTTGGACCCAAACACTTGAGTCATCATACAATGCTTTCAACAGGTCTATATCAGGAAGCTGGATCAGAATTGGTGCAGCCACGACCACCAGTGCCCATATGGGATACTGATATCATAGACCACAACATCATCTCTGATTCTACTTATATTTTCCAGAAATTTTAATCCTATAATAAAGGAAATACAACACAAACAATTAGGTAATATTTGATTTGCAATTAGTGCTACTAAGGCAGATGAGCATAACACACATTATACTCTAAAGGCTAGCCCTCAGAAGGAACTGGTTGAGATTTTTCATTTTGGCAAATTATCAGCATATTACCTCATTCAAAATTGTTATGCAAGGAACATTCATCAGTGAGAATTGCTAGTTCATCCTGCAGAAGTAACATGAAAGTTTCCATGATGGCGAGATAAGAGAATTGCAAACTAGATAAGAATGCAATGCTACTTTTTCCACCCAAGGGGATTTTTGAGTTAGGATATATCTACAAAATACTTATAATTCAACGAGGGGAAGGGGACTGATTTCTTAGTATGTTTTTTGGCCCAGATCACCAGTAAATTAGTAATTAACGCCCCACAGGAAATAGAACAAGGAAGTACAGTCACTTGTCTGCTGACACACTGCTGGCTGGGAGACTGTAGTTGTTGCGATAAGTGCTTGCAGGTATGACTATATCCCAAAGCGTATCTGTTCAGTAACTGAGTAGTGTGGCTTTTTGATCTGTCACTAACGCTTTTGTGTATCCAAGTTCATTGCAATGCAAAGAGAAGGTACATTTTGTTAACTGTGGAGAGGACTCTGGCAAATTCTCCATGAGTAGATTTATCTGCCAGGAGTAGTGGGAACAATTGTAATTTGAGGGTTGTTCATTTTCACCCTTTACCTTACTGAACTTCTATCAACATACAGATATTATTGCGCCAATTTCCTGATTTATATGTAGTAATACTTTACAATTCATTATTATTGTAAGAAAATGAAAACAGGGGGTTGGGGGCAGTGTGGGGAGCTAGATGGAGTGTGTGAACGTTTGGATTTCTTATGACCAAAAGATAAACTAACTACTCTGCAGAAAAAAAAAAGGTCCACTAAAGCAAGAGTGTCCTTAGCCTTTCAAACAAACCAGGAAGTCATTTAAAAGGCAGAGTAGAAAACATGGCAATAAGACAGCATATTACATGAGAGCAACCAAGGAAAGTAGCCACCTTGGGAGTACCACCATTTGGAAAGTTGGAGAAAACACATGAGAACCGCTGTGGGTCAGTCTTGGTGCTTACCCTCCTTCGGTGTGGGGAGGAAAATATTTTACCTGAGGAGTAAGGCAACACAGAGGCAAGGTGCCTTCAAACAGGGTCTGTGTGGTAACATCATCATTTAGCAAGGGGGTTTCCAGGACCAGGTATTCCCCAGCATATGGTTTCCCACAGGGTTCAGGACTTCTAAAAACACTCACTCTCAGACCATTCTATTCTATCCTCCTCATCAGCCCAAGCACAATTTCACTCCTGTAGCACTAAATGTTTTAAGAAATATAAGGACTCATGGAATGCTGGTGTTTCCCTTTAGAGTATAACAGATTGATTGACATTATTGTAGAATCTTAAATCCAAGGGGAAAGTGGCAAAATCCGTTTTAATTTCTCCTTTTTAACATTTAAATACCTGCTTTAAGGCCATAAGGCACAATCTCTTCAAAAGATTAATATGTGTTTTGTTACACTTACTTAAGCTCCTTCAAGAGATATAAAGAATAAATAAAAGCTAGAAATCTTTTATTTTTACCGATTTTTTGTGTGTATTAGTATTTAAGGTCTTCAGATATCAATAATGCACTGATATATAAGCTCATGCTGAGTATATGAGATATTATTTGTGTTCTTCAAGTGGGACTGGTAAAGTACCCTGATTTTCAAGTGTGTGGAAAATGAGTCTATCAAATGCTTTTGTTCTAAATGCAGACAATTTTAAGAGCATAAATAATTTACTGAGCATACTGGACTGCTTTCCTTGAATGGCTCTAACCAATCACACAGATATGTGCAGCAAACATTATTTATGCTACAAACTTTGAGTAGGCATTTGTCACAGTAAAATGACCTGGCAGTTCCATTCCTTCCTCCCCTCAAATTAGCAATATGACTGGACCATCAAATTAAGCAACTAAGCAACTGAAGATCAAATTTTCTTCTTCCTTTTTAAAGATTGTACACAGTTTTGAGTTAGATGAGTGGAAAAATAATCTTGAAAGCTGAACTCTTTCCTTTTTTTTTTTTAATGTACAACTTTTTAACAGCTAAACCACTTTGGGTAAATATGAGTAAAGAAAGTGAGCTCCGAGTCAGAGCACATGTTTACAACTAAGTTAAAGACTCTTAAAAATAGGGTGTTTGATGGTCCACTGCCAAAATATGAACTCGAGCAGCCTGGTGTGCTCGGCTAATAATAAAGAGCCAGGGTTACCATGAAAATCACTGTGACACAGCCCCAAGGCAGCTTAGTTTTTTCACTATCAAGGCCCTCACAACCACATGGAGATATAAATTTGAAGTCTGAGTTCAAGGTAGGAGGGAAGGACACCTGAAAGAGTGAGAAATCACTTAATGTCAAAGCAAAAGAAAATATGATTCGATGAGACTTAAAATCAATCTACAGAAGAGAAGGAAGGGCTCATACACTTGCTGAGCACTGACTGGTTTGCAGAAAAGGAAGAAAATGCCCAGAGAGATAGGCAACAAAAGTCCAGAGAAAAGGAAATATGTTAGGCACGAAGGAAGCTACATTGCTTTCTCTTCAGATTCCTGAAACTAGGAACACATAGCGAGACATTCGTTGTCATAGAGGTGACGGTTTCGAGTCAGGTGAAATACCACAATAGCCCTAACTTTGGGAGAGTCCTCCTGTTGCCCTAAGTCTTGGCTCCAGGGCTGTAGGCTCTGTGAATGCAGGAGCATGTGACGGGACTATGGAATGAATCTTCATTGAGAATGCATAAATGCTATACAAAACTGCACAGACTCAAGAACCTCAAGAGATCAATCATCTTTCAGCATAAAAATCAGCTGATTACATAGGAAGCACTCTCCAAGAGATCATAGCATTGTCTCATTCACCACTCCATGGCTAATGCCTAAGGTGGAGCTTAGATACACCACTTCAGTACGTATTTGCTAAATTCATTTTAGGCTAGCACATAGCAAGATTTGATTTCCAACCCAAGGGTTCAGTGATCACATTCACGTTTACTTATTTTCATCATTTCTGCATTGCTTTGGTGGATGCTTGTATACAGAGAATTTCATTCAGAATACTCTTTAAAGGTAATACTGCCTGCAGAATTTCCATGTAACAGGAGCTTGAGGAGACCAGTCTGGTTGTGAGATGAATTTTGTATACTTCACAAAATAACCAGAGAAACATCTCATCTATGCTATCAGAGAGAAAAGAAGTAGTGGGGTTCTCAAAAACAACTTGCTTGTCTTCAAAGGCATTTGTAATCAAAATAACTCATTTCAATCTAAGCTTATTCTCTCCATGAATTTGAGGCCTACTCACAGTATTATCAAGTCCTGACACATTGCTCCATGGAAACTAACATTTCAGAAGAAACCCAGACTGAAAATGACCCAGTTTTCGGCTTTCTGAACCATGAAGAGTCCCTGCCTGCCAAATGTCTGCAAGGAGGGTGTTGATGAGCCACCCTAGACTTCTTTCCCACTGCACTTGAGTATCACTTTCGAATCCACCACCTAGCCCTCCAGGTGGCTACTAAAACCTGCGTTGGAATGCAAGTTGAAACAGATTTGTCACTCTTGGACTGTACATGTTCAAGCCGTCTACCTCGAAGAAATAGAAGACTGGCAATTGTCTCTAAGAATAATATGTGACCCCCAGGCATTCATTCTGAATTTCATACTCAATTTAGATGACAAGTTAGTTCCAGTTGTCATTGACTTTCAAATGTCTTGTTGCACACGGCTTCCAAGCACGGGTCTTGCTGACGTGTGAGCTGTAGACTGATCATACCTGCGTAATTTATCTTCTCTATGTGATATGGAACAGCAAGCAGTGCCTTCCTGCTGTGTTCAAACTTGTGCTGTATAACCCGGGCATGTTCATTCACCTCATGCCTCAATTCCATCTGTCAAATGGGAATAACACAGCACCCATTTCACTGGGTAATTGTAGAAAAATCAGCTAATGTTTAAAAAGGGAAATCTTGTAAGGGCCCCTGACATACTAAAAAAATTTAATTGAAGGTGATTCTTCACAAGATCGATATACCTTACCTCTTTGGAAAGAAGAGTGACCTACAGAGAGGGAAAGAAAGATTTTGCATCTGCTGCCTCACTTGCCAAATGGCTGGAATTTCCAGGTCAAACAGAAGTATGAGGCACCAACCAGGTTTCTCCCATGGGTGGCAAGGGTCAAAGTTCTTAAACTATCTTCTACTGCTTTCCCATGTGAATGACCAGAGAGCTGACCAGAAGCAGAGCACCCAAAACTCAAAGTGGTACTCATTAGGGATGCCAGTATTGTTACGTAGTTTAGCCTGATAACACCAGACGCTACAAATTTGATCTTTAAAAGTAGGTGTTGATAAGCAGGCATTGTAGCACAGAATGTTAGCCACAGCTGGGGAGGCACTGGCATCCTGTGTTCTGTTGTGGGTTCAAATTGTGACTGCTTTATATCAGAATCTAGTTCCCTATTAATGTATACTAGGAAATAACAGATGATGTTTCAAGTGCTTGACCAGATGGAGTTCCTGGCTCCTGGTTTTGGACTGGCCCAGCCCTGGCTGTTGTAAACCATCATATAAATCTATCTCTCTTTTACTATCTGTCTGAC